TGTCTTATGGTTCCCAGATACACGTGTTCACGATGCCTGTCGTCCCGACACTCCGCGTCGGGTTTTCCAGTGTTGGATCGTAAACGCTTTTTCGAGGTTCGTCTTCGCTTCTATCAAAATCTTATAAATGCGGCGCGTAATAGGCGTCGCTTTGTCTGTGTCGTCACCGTGTTGCGTTTTTAGGTTCGTCATTGCTTAATTCCGAATGTTTTTCGGCGTCGTGATGATAGGTCGCAGGACGCTTACCGTCGGTTTGCCATTGCCGTGTGGTTTCGCTTCCAGTGTCTCGTCGTCGTAATCCTGTGTCAACGTCAGAAAGAGTCGTCGCGACGTTCTGTGTGACAGCGTTGTGTCGTATGGTTTACTTCGCCTTAATCGGAATCTTGTGCCGGCGTCCGGACCGCAAGATTCGCGACCCGTCGGTTTGCAGGCGTCGTTTCGTAAATAGAAAAGGAGACCATCTGGAAGACCAAGCGTAAATGAGGGGAAAATATTGAAACAGTTCTTCAGAAAACAGGATGTGATGGTCTGAGCTGGATTAATTTGACTCAGATTAGGTTTATGGCTAATTGCGTGATGTGAAAACGGTTATGAAAATTCGGGTTCCCTAAAATTTGTTAACTGACTAAGTTACAGCGAAATTTTAGGTTCTCACTGAAGTGAGTATGAAGATGACTGCCTTCTGGGATGATAGCCTCATGATGGAAGCAGTAAGCACCTCTTAAACGTCGGAAAATTTCTACTGGACTGCAAGACGCAACACAATCATCTTATACCCGAGTGACTATTAGCTTCGGAAGACGAATTTTGTTCTAGGCAAGATTATCCTGCACTTTTAAGATTACTGCGAAGGCTAAGGTTTGATCTAAATTTTCGAATACGGTTGACTGTATTATAGGAACGAAAAGTCTAAATTTCTTCGAGACTGGAGGACACAGGACAGGCCACATGCCTACCGAGCACAACCTCAATTTTACTTTATTTTATTCGTGACCGACCAACACGGGCCCATACTGTTTATAAAGAACTTGAGTGAAATGGTAGTTACGTCCTTTTGTCACAAACATGCAGTGAAGACATTCATGAAGCCAAAATTACAGACTGTGCCCTGCAGCACAGACAGTCTCTCATACACCCGCACAAAGCCACTTTTGGTACCACGCTCAGTAAAACCACGGTCCGGAAATTATAAAAATTAGTGCTCATAATTCTTTTCTTTATTCCTGTTTAGCCCTTGGCCGATTTCTTCGTTTTTAAATGCCACAGTTTCTTACAGAGTACCTACTGAAAACGGCCAGAGGTGGGCAACACAAACTCATTATTACAGGCATATGACCTCAAATGCTATCCCTAACGGTTCAATTATCATAGCTTTTTCTAGCCGTGATGCTTATTGCTATGGTATCTGACACTCAAATTTGCAGTTGGATCTACCAACTTCATGGAGCAGAATCATTCTTCAGACGCTGACAGACATTCAGGTCAAGATATTCAGCGCCTTTTAAGGAAACGAACGTTCAATGTTGTATTCTCAGCGGTTAGCTGTTGAAATGTAATTTTGAATCACGCACGTTTCCTTCAAGACCCAAGGGTTCTCTTTCATTCTGGTTTCCTGACTAAAACTGTACAAACCTACTCAGTTCACATCTCTTTCGTGTAAGCTACAGATTACTCTCGTTACAAGCGCTTTCGCTATCCACGTTTTAGCGTATAAGCGGTTTCGTTTCTGTATTATGAGCAGCGTTAATATCCTGACCGCGGTCGAATTTTTAAGTCTATCACATGCGTCGAACCTTCAGACTTGTCAGGGAATGCGATGCAGGTGAACAGTTTGTCATAAAATAATTATGGAGCGGATTTAACTTCAAAATAGCGATTGTTACACGTTTCTCGTTTTAAACGTTTTCGCTTTTCGAGGCGACAGGCAATTAGGAGGAGCGCAACTCTCCGTGTACAAAGGGTCGGATGTATATTACACATCCTTGAATTGATCCCTCTAATAGCCTAATACGGTGAAAAGTACAAAGTATGAAGGGCTTCATTCCATTCTCCTGCCACTTCGAAGACGCGTCCATTATATTACACAAGTGTTTCCAAGGATCATGAATACGAGTGTTTCGCAGTAAACCAGTCAACAAGAACGGACTGACGGCAAAAGCAGACACGTGAGACGGGCAAGACCGAGAGGGGTGGAACATGAGAGAATAAGCGGCAGATGCATGTGCTTGTTATAGAGTTCTTATTTGCCGCGTTGCCTAGATAATTGAAGAAACAGGCGGAGAAGAACTGTATGAAAAAGGTGGAGGAAGCGATATGGCTCCGGAGTGTTGAAACTGACGTCAGTTCCGAGTAGCCAGGCCACGCCCACCTTGTCGCCCTGGGAGATGAAGACAACCACCCTCTCACCCTCACTTCTTCCCGTGTCCACCACAGCGGATGTAGTGTTTAACCCGCCACTACGCGCCTCTCTCTCCTTCTCGTCTTACAAACTACACCTACCAAATTTGTCCGATTCTCCTGTCCCAGTACAACTTTAACTGTAGACCTATCTCTGATAAAAAAAAGTCATTACTGACATAAACAAACTTCATGGAACGATTCCTTCTTCAGAAGCGTATAAGCTATTCCAGACATTCCTCGCCATTTACACCAAATTTCTAACTAACTTATTAGAATAGCTCGGTCTGGTGGATCCAACAGAATATATATGTCTGTAGCATTTTACCTGAAGGTGATAGAAAATCCATCCTTCGAAACGTAGTGACTTTTTTAGAAGGAAAAAAAACAGACTATCGACAAAGTGCAATACAAAAAATCAGTAAAAAACCATCGCCAACGACGGCTATAGAATCAATATTTCATTACAGGTATGTTATGAAGGGATTTTAAGCCAGCCGCATAGCTGATATCTGAATATATGCATAAGCATTATAAAGCAGAATTAAATTGTTTAAAGCAGCTACCTCCCACTAATAAAATCACTTAATGATTTTCTTATTAATACCATAGAATATCTATCAAAGAACTTTATTATTAAGTACGATATAAAAGAAGGAGTAAATAAAAATCTATAAAAAATATTATTTCAGGTTCAAAAGCAATAATTGTTTCCTTAGCTATTTAAATGACAACATCAAATCAAATAATAAATGGTCACTAAGAAGAGTACGCAAAGTCATTTACTTTGGTACATTAATTAAACAGAAACAAGTTCATAAATAATCGAGTCTATTGTCTACTGAATCATAACCAAACACAGGGCTGTGTTTTAACTGTAGACTGTCAAGATACCATCATGTCTCGCAAGGCTACATTATTTCCACCTCTGTTTGCTTATTGTCTACGGAGTCCATTGTCTCCTGGTAGAATCGCGTGGTACGGACGGGATATGTTCTTCTGCTGCTGCCCAATGACCACTCCCACATCTCCAGTGCTGACTCCTCCTGAATATTGACAAGCTTATATACTTCAATATACAA